TAAGACAGAATAACATAGATATAATACAAAAATGTATAGAAATAAGCAGCCGTAATATGCATACGGCTAGATGAAGTTGGCAGGCCCGGTTCCATGAGACACTTCAGTTGAAGGTAGGCCTCGTTCTCATTCTAGTCCTTCTTGTAGTGCAGCCTCGTTGAAATCTGAAATGTTTTCTTGGGCTGCCATCGTTAGTAACCATGTGGACGAGTGTGGCTGGAAATATCAGCAAATCCTGTATTATCCATGAAAGCAGCTCTCCCTCCAGCCAATACGATAAACCAAAGGATATTGCTGAGAGTCCACTACCTACACTCAACTTCTTCACTGGATATGTATTAAATGTATGCTAAATAAAGCATTGTAAACCACTGGCTGTTCTTGTACCATAGGCTTTTTATTTTCAAGCAGAAAGGTCGCTAGTTTTAAAGGTGTCAAAAATGTAGCCTGGTCCAGCTTAAGTTTCCTTGTTTATTTATCTTAGATCTTCGGGACTGAGAAATCTAAAAAACAAAACCACCCCTATTCCCTAGGTGACAGAAAGATCAAAGAGCTTGAAGAAAGCAGTTCACTCGAACATCAGACTGACAATGAGTTAAAATGTTTTCTTTCTTGCATTTATCATGTTTCTATTTAAACTCAAATTCTTTTTTTAATTAAAAAATTGTGTGGGTACATAGTTATATATATTTATGAGGTACATGAGATGTTTTGATACAGGCATGCAAAGTATAGTAATCACGTCATGGAAAATGGAGTACTCATCCCTTCAAGCTTTAATCCTTTGTGAACACCAATCTCTTGAAGAGCAGGATGTGCATCCAGGTTTTTAAGAAGATGATTTTTTATTCTGAAGACCTGACCATTTGCCTTCCATTTACAGGTATGCAGTAGGATCACTCAAGTCACAGTTTTGAATGTGCACGTGCAATTGTATGCCAGGAGAAGCTTTCTGCAAGGGCAATAGAGTTCCAAGTTTCTCTCCCCACTTAATAGGACCTTTATACTTAATTGGCTTAATGTAGAACATTTTGACACAAAAACCTAAAAGAGAATAAGTATAATTATTTATCTGGGCTTCAGTAACCTTAAATTTGAAATTCAAAAATAACAAATGTGCAAAAACGAAAAAAAGAAATAAAGTTGAATGAACTTGGGAGAGGAATAGATGAAAATGACAGAATGATATTACAAAGGAAGACTAAATTACAGGAAGCCAAAGGAAGAATAGATTCAAAGGAAACATTAATAAAGACATTGAAGAATAATAGTGGGAAAATACTAGTTAGTTAGAAAAGGTGAATGATTCCTTAAGGCCGGGCATGGTGGCTCATGCCCGTAATCCCAGTACCTTTGGGAAGCCAAGGAGGGTGGATAATATGAGGTTAGGAGTTAGAGACCAGCTGGTCTGACATGGCAAAACGCTGTCTCTACTAAAAGTACAAAAAAATTAGCTGGGCATGGTGGCNGTCCACAATGGAGTACAGCATTTATTTTTTGCAAGCAAATTTCTGGAAACAACCTAAAGTTACTTCGTACCAAGGAGATGCCTATTCAAATCAGACAGTGCTAGATATACTTTGCCACTGAAAGTAATGGCAAAAACCACGATTCCTTTTGCACCAAGCTAATAGATATACGAAGGTGCAGATTGTGTGACATAGATTCTCAACTGAGAGTCATTAGCTCCCTTCCTGGCCACCCACATGCAAGTCCTGTTGCTTCTCTGATAAGTTATTCATAATAATGAATACCCATGCAATTACTTCCCAACTGCAAAACTACAGCATTGATAGTCACCCTATCAACGCAGGTGAGTGGCCCTGGGCAAGGCCCTGACCTCCCAAAACCTCACTTTCATTGTTTGCAGAAATGAGAATTGGGGCAGACGTGGACCCGCATGAGACCCAGAGAGGGGTGCGCTGGGCTGGGGCCAGGGGTGAGTTGGGTGTTTGTGCATCAAAGTGCAGACGGCCCCCTGCCCAAAATTATACAAAACTACCGTGACATCAGTGCTGTCAGGAACCCTTTACCCTGAAAACGACTGCTCTTAGGTTGCTGAAGTCAGCAGAGAAGGCATTTCCTGTTGTTTTAAAGTAAATACGGCGCCGCTGCCTGCGTTGCTTGGCTCTGCACGCCCATCTCCTTCCGTCTACACCTGGGTGTTGACACCATGCCCTAACTGACGGGTCTCCACTGTCATCCTCATCCACAGAATTGAGCGATGTTCCTCCACCTGCCATGCACCAGCAAAGGCACCGGGGACCCAAAAGTGCATGTGATCAATTTTATGCTCTTGAAGAGTCATCTAGAGTGGTAATTATGACCCGGCAGGAAATGCGCAGGAGCAGGGGATGGAGGCAATGTATGGCCCCGCCCCCACTGCCCTCTCCAGATAGTCAGGGGAGCCTCGTGTGTTTGCATCACACGGTTCTCACACAACCTCGACAAGATTGCAGCCTCGCCTGCTGAGCGCTTTGCTTCTTCAAGGCTAAGACTGAAGCTTGTGGTTTTCACCATTGGCCCTAGAATCTAGTCAGCAGCCCAGTACCTATTGGTGGGGAACCTTTTGAATTAACTCCTTGGTACTACATAGCTGAGAAATTTCTAACTTAGGTTTTGTGACACTCAAAGAGACAAACTGTCACTTAAAAGGATGGGCCCAAGTGCTGAGATTCAGTTTCTGGGTATGTGGTGCATTTTGCCTAACGTGTGGAGAGGAGGGGAATGTAAAATCTCCGCTTAGGCCTGGCACGGTGGCTCACACCTGTAATCCCAGAACTTTAAGAGGCTTAGGCAGGTGGATCACCTGAGGTCAGGAGTTCGAAACCAGCCTGGCCAACATGGCAAAACCCTGTCTCTACTGAAAATGCAAGAATTAGCCAGGCGTGGTGGCACACGCCTGTAATCCCAGCTACTCAGGAAGCCGAGGCAGGAGAATTAATTGAACCTGGGAGGCAGAGGTTGCAGTGAGCCGAGATCACACTGCTTTCCAGCCTGGGTGACAGAGCAAGACTCAAAAATAAACAAATAAATAAAAAGTAAAATAAAATCTCTAGCTTAGCTAACTTCATTTTTCACTGTTGCACACGCTCTTCTTAGAATGTTCTCAGCAAACCCCAGTGCTGAGCCTGTGTAATACAAATCTTGATGCTTTGCGAGTCATGATTTTTACCTGAAGGTTTGACTTACTTTCTCTTTCATTTTAGTCTTCATGTTTTCTTTACTGTTTATCACTCGAAGACAAAACCCCTCTAGATCTGGATGAAAAGGTCAGCCTGGCAGTGCCTGGGTGGGAAATATCCCTGCTGGATTTTCCCTGGGTCCACATAGCATTCTCAGAATAGCCTTAGGAACAGGAAGAGCACAGGGCTCACTGTCAGATGGCCTTCGCTGTGCAGGTGGTAGAGAGGTGGTCACCTCCAGCAGACCAAAAGAGGCCTTTTTTCCTTGCTGACAAGGTTGGGAGGGGAGTTTTGTCAAAGAG